TCCCCCCTTGCGTCTTAACAAAGTTCTGATCATACAAAGTTCTGATCATACAAAGTTCTGATCATACAAAGTTCTGATCATACAAAGTTCTGATCATACAAAGGTGGTTTGTTTAAATCTTCTCCCTTGTGAAATAGTAAAACAAGGTTTGTTGAAGCGTGAAACAAAAGACGGGACAGTAAGATGTGAACAGTTCGGCTTAGAGGATTCTTCAGCGAACAGGACAAATAGAAGTGCGACAAAAAACCAGAGCACAGTAAAATGAAAAAAACAAACTTTAAAGAGCCCCTTCCTTGTTAAAACCTTAAGGTTTAGCTGCTTTGATGCAATAGGGGAATTCTTCCCCCACCCTTTTTTTTGGGGGGGGGGGGGGACTGGGGCTTTTTAGGGATGCAGAGAGCTGCTGCTTCTACCCACAACTGTGATCACAATAATACAGAGAATAATCATAATGAAAATGGCGTTTCCGGCTTGTCCCACTTTCGTTCTCTTCTTCTCCACACTTTAAATAAAACACAAGAGCAAGAACTCTTTCAACACCCACCCCCTTTTTAACCCCTCCCCCCCCCCCCCCCCCCCCCCCCCGTGACGGAGGCCAACGTTGTTTGTAGCGGAAGTCAATCTGAGCGATGCTCTCTGAGGTGTGATGATCTTCTGGGAGCGCCTTTTGTCGGGAAGATTCGGTGCCAATGAACGGGGGACGGTCGGATAATTGGCGCGCGGGGACCAATCTGCAAAGTAGCTCTCATCTTAAGCCGCTTTCATGTCCTGCTGTGTTCCCCCCTGGTGAGCGGCACAAAAGTTTCTAGTCGAAGTCATTCTGGCCAAAAAATATAAAATTGTAACGTTAAGTCTTGTTGGTGCCACTACTTAACACTGGCTTGAGGGTAAAACTGGGAGACCGATGCACAAACAATTCTTTTGTTCAATTTTCAGCGCAAGGGTCGGGGTTGCCTATGTAAAACTTGTGTTTTAAATTTTTTTCAAAATAAAAAAAAATAAATAATAATAAAAAAAGAACCCACCAAAAAAAAACAACAACAAAAAAATTGTTGAAATATAATAATATGTTAAATTTATTGCCTATGTTTTGTTGTTGTTGGACCACCCAGGTCAGCACACCTGGTCGCCATTTTTAAAAAAAAGTGTTTTGTTTAGTCTTGTATTAACCCCAGCAGTCCTGGAGATTGTAAGATGAGTAGTTCTACAATTGACCATTTCAACATTTATGTGATGTGGTGGTTGGGGGTGGGGGGGTGGGGTGGATGAAAGATCTCCCCCCTTGCGTCTTAACAAAGTTCTGATCATACAAAGTTCTGATCATACAAAGTTCTGATCATACAAAGTTCTGATCATACAAAGTTCTGATCATACAAAGGTGGTTTGTTTAAATCTTCTCCCTTGTGAAATAGTAAAACAAGGTTTGTTGAAGCGTGAAACAAAAGACGGGACAGTAAGATGTGAACAGTTCGGCTTAGAGGATTCTTCAGCGAACAGGACAAATAGAAGTGCGACAAAAAACCAGAGCACAGTAAAATGAAAAAAACAAACTTTAAAGAGCTCCTTCCTTGTGAAAACCTTAAGGTTTAGCTGCTTTGATGCAATAGGGGAATTCTTCCCCCACCCTTTTTTTTGGGGGGGGGGGGGGGGGGGGCTTTTTTGGGG